GTATTTTAAAAATGGTTGAATATATTGAAGAGTTCCGATTAGCTAGTTTTATTTTAACATTATTTTAGAATAAAAATATAGTTATTAAAGATGGGTTTTATAAGATTATTGCACATTTTCGTGAAATCAATTTTTCTAAAATATTATGTTGTTAAAATTATAATACTGACAACACATTTACTAGCAAAACAGAAATGTCTATATTATTTTACTAAATATCAATTAACTGATAAGTTTATTTCACTAATAATTTATTTTACTAACAATTATTTTACTGATACAATAATTCTGATCGTTGTTATTAAGATTAAGTTTAGAATTAGAGTTAAGTTTAATGTAATTTTAAACAAAACCTATCAATAAAATAATTGTTAGTAAAACAAACTTATCAGTTAATTGATTTTTTGTAAAATAAAGTTTAAGCATAAAGCATAACACAAATACTGATCTAATTTTTTTGTAGATTAAATAAATTAAATTAATAAATAGATTTCTATATGTTTTTTGATAAAATCTTTTGTTATAATTGGATCATTAGTTAATTATTACTTGCACAGGCAAGTCCTTCCACATCCAACCGTCTTAATACGTACGTATTATACCTAAAAATTTTTACTAAAAAAATTTCGCTGCTAATTAAGGTTAGGTTTTGTTATAAATTTATATTAGAAAGAGGTTTTATAATGCCAGAATTCCACATGAAAACCTTTTTGTTAATGTGCAGAAGTAAGTAAATGTTATGAACAATTTTTTGCATTTCTTCTGCATACCAAAAATGGGTGCTTTTTTATGGTATCGAATGCAGATCAAGTGCTTCGGGTACACAAATCGGAAGTTGAATTATACTTTAATCAGCGAAATAAATGTAAATTTTGAGTAGAAAAGAATAGTAAAACTTATAATTTTTTTGAGTCTTTAGACACATTGAAATAAAGGATTAATCCTGGTGGGATCAATGTTAATCATAAAACTTTGAACGTTAAACTTTATATCTATAAGACTATTTGTGCAAATATAGTTACTTTATTTTCTTGACAATCACCATATTTATAAATTTTAGATATGTAGGGTTTCAAATCCGGACCTGGGTTCCAAACCCAGATCCTAGCCAATCCGTACACGTGTCGTTACTATCGAAACTATCAAGTTATATGCTTTACATATAGCGAAACAAAGAAAAGCAATGATGAAAAATACACACAAGAAAAGTTTCAACAGAATCTTCAGAATTTTTGCAACAACGTATACAACAAACAATATTACTGTGATTTTTATAAATAAATGAAAATAATAAATTTTCTTTATATGATAATTTTCTTCAAAATATCTTAATGCCCATGCGTCATTTGGTTCAATTTCTAATAATTTATTTAAATCTGCAAGTGACTCTTCGTATCTTTCCAACATGTAATAGGTCTCTCCACGACGTCTTAATGCCTGCAAATTTTTTGGTTTAATTTCTAACGATTTATTTAAATCTGCAAGTGACTCTTCATATCTTTTCATCATATAATAGGTTTCTCCACGGCTTCTTAATGCCCATGCGTTATTTGGCTCAATTTCTAATGATTTGTTCAAATCTGCAAGTGACTCTTCGTATTTGTTCGTTAGTCGATAGATCTCTCCTCGAATTCTTAATGCCTCTGCATTATTTGGTTCAATTTCTACCGATTTGTTCAAGTCTGCAAGTGACTCTTCGTATCTTTTCATTATGTAATAAGTAATTCCGCTAAGTTTTAATACCCATGCGGTATTTGGTTCAATTTCTAACGATTTATTCAAATCTTCAAGTGACTCTTCGTATCTGTTCGTAATAAGATAGATACATCCACGTCTTCTTAATGCCTCTGCATTATTTGGTTCAATTTCTAATGATTTATTCAAATCTGCAAGTGACTCTTCGTATTTGTTGATTAAACTATAGATGTATCCACGAGAAGTTAATGCCCATGCATTATTTGGTTCAATTTCTAATGATTTGTTCAAATCTGCAAGTGAATCATCGTATCTGTTTATTAGACGATAGATTTCTCCACGTCTTCTTAATGTCTCTTGCATTATTTGCTTCAATTTCTAACGATTCATTCAAATCTTCAAGTGACTCTTCGTATCTGTTCATAATAAGATAGATCCATCCACGTCTTCTTAATGCCTCTGCATTATTTGCTTCAATTTCTAATGATTTATTCAAATCTGCAAGTGACTCTTCGTATTTGTTCGTTAGTCGATAGATCTCTCCTCGAATTCTTAATGTCAATGCATTATTTGGTTCAATTTCTACCGATTTGTTCAAATCTGCAAGTGACTCTTCGTATCTGTTCATAATAAGATAGATCCATCCACGTCTTCTTAATGCCTCTGCATTATTTGCTTCAATTTCTAATGATTTATTCAAATCTGCAAGTGACTCTTCGTATTTGTTCGTTAGTCGATAGGTATCTCCCCGAATTCTTAATGCCCATGCATTATTTGGTTCAATTTCTAATGATTTATTCAAATCTGCAAGTGACTCTTCGTATTTATTCGTTAGTCGATAGGTATCTCCCCGAATTCTTAATGCCCATGCATTATTTGGTTCAATTTCTAATGATTTATTCAAATCTGCAATTGATTCTTCATACCTTTCCATCATGTAATAGGTATTTCCACGACTTCTTAATGCCAATGCGTCATTTGGTTCAATTTCTAATGATTTGTTCAAATCTGCAAGTGACTCTTCGTATTTGTTCGTTAGCTGATATATTTTTGCTCGAATGTTTAATGCCTGCGCATTATTTGGTTCAATTTCTAACGATTTATTCAAATCTTCAAGTGAATCATCGTATCTGTTCATTAGACTATAGATTTCTCCACGTCTTCTTAATGCCTCTGCATTATTTGCTTCAATTTCTAACGATTTATTCAAATCTTCAAGTGACTCTTCGTATCTGTTCATAATAAGATAGATCCATCCACGTCTTCTTAATGCCTCTGCATTATTTGCTTCAATTTCTAATGATTTATTCAAATCTGCAAGTGACTCTTCGTATTTGTTGATTAAACTATACATGTATCCACGAGAAGTTAATGCCCATGCATTATTTGGTTTAATTTCCAATACTTTATTCAAATCTGCAAGTGACTCTTCGTCTCGGTTCATTAGACTATAAATGTATCCACGAAGAGATAATGCCTCTGCATTAATTGGTTCAATTTCTAACGATTTATTCAAATCTGCAAGTGAATAATCGTATCGGTTCATTAGACGATAGATTTCTCCACGACTTCTTAATGCCCCTGCATTATTTGCTTCGATTTTTAATGATTTATTCAAATCTGCAAGTGATTCTTCGTATCTTTCCAATATGTAATAGGTCTCTCCACGACGTCTTAATGCACATGCATTATTTGGTTTAATTTCCAATAATTTATTTAAATCTGCAAGTGACTCTTCGTATCGCTTCATTAGACCATAAATGATTACACGAAGAACTAATGTCTCTGCATTATTTGGTTCAATTTTTAACGATTTATTCAAATCTGCAAGTGACTCTTCGCATCTGTTTATTAGACGATAGTTTTCTCCACGACTTCTTAATGTCCATGCATTATTTGGTTCAATTTCTAACGATTTATTCAAATCTGCAAGTGACTCTTCGTATCTTTTCAACATGTAATAGGTCTCTCCACGACGTCTTAATGTCTGCGCATCATTTGGTTTAATTTCTAACAATTTACTCAAATCTGCAAGTGACTCTTCGTATCTTTTCAACATGTAATAGGTCTCTCCACGACGTCTTAATGTCTGCGCATCATTTGGTTTAATTTCTAACAATTTATTCAAATCTGCAAGTGATTCTTCGAATCGTTTCATCATGCAATAAGTTTCTTCACGACGGTATAATGCCAATATGTTATTTGGTTCAATTTCTAATGCACTATTTAAATCTGCAAGTGCTTCTTCATATCTTTTCATTGTCATGTAAATTGTTCCACGCCTTCCTAATACAAATGCATTGTTTGGTTCGACTTCTAATATTTTGTTATAGTATACGAGTGATTCTTCAAGTGGTTTGTTTCTCATTAAATAACTAATTCCAACGAAAATGACGAATGCAAATATCACAAAACGGAAAATATAATATTTATTTAAAAACGGATTATTTTGTTTGCTTTCATCACTATTTGTATTGAATTATAACAGAGATAATAAGTATTCTTTAAAAAACATGAAAATTTTGTCTCTGTCATAAATTTAATGCTTACCTGTTTGAATTATTAGTAGTATAAATATTATTTACTATGAAATTAGTGGCTGTTTCAGTTGATAATTTTTCAAGTGAAATTTTTATTTCATCCATTGAGGGGCGTTGTTCAGGTTCAAAAGACCAACATTTTGTGTAAAGTTCGGCATATTCTTTGGGTGTGTCGGCAATGATTTCTTCTCTTTTATTTTGTAAAATCATTGCAACTAAAATCTGGTTTGGAGTACCATTAAATGGAGGAACTCCACTTGTAAGTTCCCAAAGTAAGCCACCTAGACTATAAATGTCGGATTTTTTATTAATTATTTCCTTATCTCCGTGTTTTAAATACTGTGGATCAGTATATGCAGGATTACATGTCAAATAAGAGAATTTTGGATTGGATATTTCATTAAGCGTTTCGATACTCCAAAATTCGTAATCAAGGCCATACCATTATTCATCAAAATATTAATAGAATGCTAATGGAAATTATAAACACAAATTTAATATTTAGTATTTGAATGAAAAAAATTGAAAAACTAAACATTACCAGGTCCTGATGAATAATATCATTTGCGTGCAAATATTTCAACCCATTAGCAATTCCATTTGCAATTTGAATAAGTTCGTACCATGAAATTTTGTAAATATTTTCATGTTGCTTTTGTTCTAAATGTTCTCGGAGAGTTCCCCCATCTGCAAGTTGCAATACTAACATAAACCTGCGTGATAGTGAATCTAAATTATATTTAGGCAAAGTTAAAATTTATATTCTTAGTGCTTTTGACTTATAAGTCTAATCTTTATTATACCTTTTGAAATTCCATAAAATTTGATAATATTTTCGTGTTCGATATCATAAAGAATTTCAATCTACATTATTGCATGGAATCCTTAATTTTGAAGATTTAATATTAAGTATTTAAATATAGTATATTACCTCACGTTTAACTCGCCTTATTGTTTTAACATCAATTTTTAAGTTATTATTTAGGCTTTTTAATGCATATTTTTTATCTTCAAAGGTGGCTGAAAATATAATTGCAAATTTTCCACTCTCGATAAGGGTCACGTCAGTAAATTGTGAGTAATTGAAGTTTTTTACTCTTTCCACGGATACTTCATATTGTTCCGAACATTCAAAAACTAAGTTAGTATTGTATTTATTTGTATTCAGACTTTATTAAAAGATACATCACATGACATTTCTCTTTGCTCTACATCTGCCATTTCGAACTATAAAATTTGTTCCGATTATTACTTATCGGACTTTGAAACGAAATTTTCAAATAAGGCTTCGGTGGGTTTGGATAAAGGAAAATTCCAAGAATCTTCCTATTTGTGTAATGTGCAATAAAATTTGTTACACTAGTGATGGCTAAGTTGATATCATTGATGATATATTATATGTTTAGCTTTATTGCGAATAAATAATAACTTACGGTGGTTACAAAAGATTTCCCACACATCAATAAAGCTTACAGCTTTGTCTTTTTTCTTGAATAGATAGTTTAAAGAATATGGTTGCTATGAAGATTTTTGTATTTTTACAATTACTATAATCGAAATTCAAATAAAAGCTAAGTTTGGGATCTCATTTTAACGAAAATAGGAAAGATCATCCAAATACAGTCAAACTCTCTATGGTCACACTCTATATAATCACATTTACTTATTGACACCATCGAACCGGCGTCGGCGTTTCGGTCGCTTCTCAAACAGATACGCCGTGTAACCTACGAATGGCTTAGTCGATAAGAGGTGGTTAGATTTGGCGAGTGGTGTGTTTATGATCGTAGGTTTTACAAGGTAGCGAAGGCCAGGGAATTATGAGGGTCAAACTTCATTACAAGCACGAACTCTCTCTTTCTTGGATGGCTTGAAGCCTTTATTATATACTTTCATTTACATATAACATGTTATACCCTTTATTCGTGATATACCGCTTATACTACTTATAACGTTTATGCTAATTATACTGATGATAATGTTTATAATGATTATTTTAATTATACTCTTGGTCCCTCTAATTCCCATTATCCCACTGATATCAATTATCAATCCGATACTTAGTATTGTTACGGGGAATTGTATGTTTTTTAGGACGGAGCAATTGCGACGAATTGTCGCTTCAAAAGCGTCGACGTCGCGTAACGTTACTCGAAAGCAAGACAAGCGGATACGATTTGGCAATGGCTAAGGCGGCTCTCGAGTAAGTTACCGGGTAAGTATAGGGACTTTTCAAATGAACGTTTATGTCTATTTCACTCTTGACACTTTTTATAATTTATAACTGTTTTATTTTTAATTAATTTATTATAATTTCCTTTAAGTTACAGGAGTATTGAGGGCCAGAGGGGGTCATATCTAGAGATGGGACACTGCGCAGGCATTTTTTGAGGCTGCGCAGTGCAATTTTCATAATTCTGGCCAGCTTTATAATCTAGGTTTGAATTACCAATCGGAAATCGGTTCGGATCGGCCCGATCTGCATCACCTGATTAATAGAATCCATCGTTCATAATTCTGGTCAAACTTGCAGATCATTTGACCATATTTAAAGTTGTTTTGTTCTAGATCTGGCCAAATGATCTGCAAATTTGATCAGAATTATCAATTCACTGATATGCAGAAAAAAAATGAAAAAAATGCAAAACAACAAAAACTGATGTTTAAACTAATCTTGGAGCATTAATTAAAAATGATGAGAGCCCAACTTTACACATATAAAGTAGATGTTTTATATATATAAATACAAAATCTAATGAGTTTCTATTAATCATACCATTTCACTTTTTGACTCATAATTCTATTTTTCATTAATTTCTCTATTTTGTAGGTCCTGCTGATAGAGTTACAGCTATCTCTCCCAAAACATCTTTGCAAATTGAAGATTTTGTTGTAAGTCTGTAAAAGTAAGTATTACATCTTTTTCTTGTTGTATGTTGTGATGATTCTACTAAGTCTTTCTTTCTTTTTAGATTAGTAATAATTGTTACATGTGGAGTCCAGGCTTATAATCATGAGTGTTTTGTTCTAAATCTTAGAGTTTCTTTTGCATACAATAGGAAAAAATTGGGTTACATGATCATTGGTTTTAGGTCATGATCTAACTTACAATTCTAATCACATTTTTAGTTATATTTTTAATGATTATTATACAATAGTTCTAACCAGATTTCTCTCTAACAGTATACAGCAAATATAGTATATACTCTTGTATGTCTATTTAAAATATGTTATTGTTATAGTCATTTTACATTACTTCAATTTCTTCTTTCAAAATTCCAATTTTATGGCTCATATTATAATTATACTACCAGGTAGTTGCATGAAATAGTTATACTAAAACCCAGAACAGAATGCTTTATTTTATATACTGCCAATTATAAATAATGTAACAAAAAAAAATTTAGTTAGGTTGTATTATCTTATGCAATTCTAAATGTATTTGTTAAATTTTTTATTTTATTTTATTCACAAATATTATTTTTTTTAAATAGTAAAATTTTAATAATTGTTATTATTACTAATACAAAGATAATTGTGAATTTATTATAAATTACATGTTGCATTATTTCTGATCATTTTTGACAAAGATTAGATCATATGAGTTGTTCTACATAAATACTTATAAAAATATAAGTTTCATTGTTGATTCTATATCTTATTCAATATTAAATTACTTACAAATCAAAAAAAAACTATACAACTTCTGTTCAACAAGCCTAAATATTGTTTTTTTTTTCAAAAAGAGTATACTACAAGAATAGTAGATCAGATTTATTATGTTAACTTTTTCATAATTTTGCAAATTAGAAAAAAATAATAGTAAATCACATACTTGAAAATTTAGTAATAGTTGGTTATCCAACTTTGTTAAATGAACTAACCCAAACAATAATAATAAATTTAATTATCTTCTATTCTTGTTCTACTATTATAAAATGAGAACTCATCTCAAAATAAATAAAAATATTGAAATTTCAGTTTACTATTTATTAGATATTTTAAAATTATGATTTTGTATTAGAAATAATAAAAAACCCTTATCTGAATAATAGTATTAAAAAGCATAATTTGTTTTTATAAAAAAATATGAAAAATAGACTGTCAAAGAGTGGTCTAAGGTAATTTAGTCAAGCGAGTTAAGGTTCCAAATTTTTGGATCAGATAGTAAGCAATACTATTAGAAACATTATAAAGAACTATTAAATCTGTTTTACATTAAGCCTACTATGAAATATGATAACAAATCAATTATAATTTGGGATTGTTTATTACTTATAGTGTTAGCAGCTATTGTAAGATTGGTGGTATATTGAATATGAATCTGTATCTAAAAATACTCTATGAAAATTTGATGTAGATGATAAGAATTATGAATTTGAAGTCAATAAAGTTGTTTTTTTAACAAGATGAAGTATCTTGTTATATGGCAACTATGACCAAATGTTGGCTTACAAGAAAGAAGATAAAGTTTTTTAACTGGTCTTTCTAATTAGCTAATCTAAACCTAATTAAACACTTATAGAATAAAGTTAATTATCACCTTAGAGATTTCTTTAGCCAAATTTTAAGTAAAAAAGACCTTTAAAAAAAAATTCTAATGGTTTGGTAGGCAATCAATATTGAAACCTATATGAGGTTAATTCATTTAATGTCAAAATGAATTTGTAATGTAATTAGAGCCTGGAGCAGCTATACCAGATGTTAATAACTGAGAATTATTAAAAAAAAATTTTATTTTTTATATAAAAAAATTTTTTTATTTTACAATCATGTTGCTGTTAAAATAAGTAAAAATAATGTAACACATATATTAAAATAAAGCTCATACTCTTAAAAAATTTTGATTACTAAATTTTGAAATTTTTTTTATTAATGATAATATTGCTATTTGCAAATAAAATAAAAAAAATTTAATAAATATACTCAGAATTGTATAAGATAATATGATCAGATTAAATTTTTTTGTTGCATTATTTATAATTATTAGTATATTAAAAAATATGTTTAATTACAATATATATCTATAAAGAAAAAAAAAGCTTTTTGTTGGTGTTTTAAAATTTTGGTTATGATTATCTTAAACTATTTCTCTTACAAATTGCTTTGAAATTTTGAAAAATTTTATTTTTAAAATAAAATTTGAAAAATTAATTATAATATATACTTTTTAGATAAAAAAATATTTTTAAATATTATTCATCTTATTAAATGTAATATGCCAACTTGATACATTTGAATTAAAATGTAATTATATAAAATTTTATATATTAACTTGCAATTAAATAAATATATTTAATATTTGAAGATTTATAAAATATATTTATAAAAAAAATCAAATTAAATTTTAATTACATATTGATTAAAAAAATTTCAAAGTGGATTAATTTTTTTTAAAAAAATATATAAATTTAAAATTTTTTTTTTGATATATTTCTAAAGGTTTATATAATTTAGTACATGTGTGTTATAATGCACCTATCTGATCAACTAATTAGATTGTAAGATTAGATGTAATATGAAATTGAAAAAAAATACTAATTTTTTTAAAAATTACTTGTAGTTCAAAATTTTGGCATAAAACTATTTTTTATGTTCTAATAAAAAAATCTCTTACAAAATTTTAATATAAAAATTATTTTTATTATTACTTAATTCTAATTTATCTTAATATTAGTTCTTAATCTAAATTAATGTTTAATTAATTTGTTTTGATTTCATATTATATCTAATCTTATAGTTACATTACAATTAACTAAAATAAATTAATTTTAAAAAATTTATATCGATTAATTAAATTTTTTATCTAATTAATTGATTAATCAATTAAGTTAACTAATTTTAAAATTGATTTTTATTTCAAAATTGATTCCCATCTCTACATCTAATAATGACTCAATGTAACACTCTTTATAATTGTATTATAATATAAAATAAGATAAATTCTTTTATAAATAGCTGTGCAATATTATCATATGAAACCAAGAATAAGAGAAATCTATACAGATGTCATTTTAGTCACAGAAAACTATATTCTTTATTGCAACCTATTTCTGATATAAGAAAATGACTCTTTATAAAAAAAGTAGATAGTACTTGTAATCAGAATATTGATTTGAATTTTAGTATCTAACTGCCATAAAGTTGGTTAGCTAGCATTACTTAGTTTTGATCAATCTGATTCAAAATTTTGAAACTCACATAGGGGAATTCCCAAAATT